AATGTGAGTTTATCTTATATTTCATACCGATCATACCCATAATATCAAGGTGTAACAATAAAGATACTTACAAATTACCCATTAATACGGTCCTCACATTGATAACAAGATTTGATCTTATTACCTTGTAAGTTATAGATCTAATTCTTACTAATTGGGTCAACTTATGTTGGTATTTGTAAACACTCTATTTTGTTCAGGCCCCCACAAAAAAAAATAAAAAAGGCCATTTTTAATAAAATAATAAAAAAATCAAATAAATAAAAATTAAAAGAAAAATCCCCCAATCAAGCCTTAATTTGAATCTTCAATTGGAAAAGGTCAAATCAAAATCTAATTCCAAAATTTTTGCCCTAATTTGAAATGATAAAATTCAAATAAAATTAATCATAAATTGTGATTTAAAGGGATTTAATCATTAATGATAGAAACCCTAATTTTCATATATAAAAAGAGATGCAAGGTGGTGGATCAATAAAAAGAAAGGAAGAAAAAAATTTGAGAGAGAGTTTGAGAAGAAAATTTGTTAAAAAAATAGAGGATTTTTTTTTTAACATCATCCTCACTCATATGAATATGGAGTTGAGAATAAGCAGAGATGCTCTAAATAAGATAATATCAATTATTTATTATTCTATAATGTCATAAGGAAAGCCAATACTCTTATATTTGTGGTCACATATATGATCTTTAAAAATATTAAAGGTTGAAGGGCATTTGATTAGTAATGATTCATATGATTCTTTTGTTTTCCACACTTCTTTCTTCATTCCCTTTTCAAAAAAAGCCTTTGAAAAGTGCGTGCATGCCGCTCTTTATATTTGCATATATGTATCTGTGTGTGTTGCATTCATTGCTTTTCTTTCTTTTAACTAAAAAATCTCTATTTTCGTTCCTTCTGTGTGTGCCTCGCGTGCATGGGCCATATTTTTTTTTTTTAACATGCTCATGTACACTCAAGCACATACTTTAAACATTTATTTGTTTTATTTGTTGTGCATGGTATGAAGATTAAAAATAACCATCTAAATTGTTACAAGTAATAAAGCTCTAAAGGTTTGATATCTCTCTCTCTATTTATGGTTGTACCTTCCTCTAGCACACTACACCAATACTTAATTTGAGACTTTTATGCGTGCATATTTTCTAATCATACCATGTGAAATTTTTAGAATCTCAACAAGTAACTAATCGATTAACATGCCATGTGTGGCAATAGGTTATCACAGGAATACCAATCATGGTGCTTAATTAATTTGTTTTAAAAAACAATCCATTTTTAAAAAAATGAAAGAGATTTTTTTTGTTAAATAAATAGATTGAAAAATAATTTTTATGCTATATGAGATTTTGGAATCTCCACATGTATAAAAGAAATTAATTTTTCTTTGAGATTTTTAGAATCTTCGCATGAATTTCAATCTAATTTTCTCTAGAATCCTTTCTCAAATAACAAAAGAAGTCTGTTTCATAATTTAAAAGACAATAACCCAATACAAAAATTAATTTCAAAAAAATATTTTTCTAAAAAATACCAGTAAACTAACATGCATATTTATTATCGAACTACATGAATTTTAATCTCTCTAAAGGGTGTGTAGGCCCTAGAGTTTTATCTTAGGCCAAATCCAACAAAATAATATTTTTCTTGATTTAATTTTAATTTTCTTCTTATTTTCCTTTTTATTGTTTTATTAATTAAAGATAATTAAATTAAATTTAAAGCCATGTTAATTTTGTTTAGTCAACTTAAGGTAATCATTCTCATGAATGAGTTATATGTGGGATGCATAACACCTTACCATACACAACCGATTCCCAAATGCTATTCTAGTTACTGTAAATCATTTTATTTGTTTAAAAGTTTTTAAAATTTTCCTTTTAAAATTTTTGTGGTGAATCCTATAATTATTGATTTTTCTTTTTAGGGAGACCGTGGTCTGCGCACAATAGTACTATTTTTGTTTGGTTTTGTTTGATAATACATAATTTCTTCAATTTAGGGTTTATGCAAATCATGTGATGCTGATTATTATTAGTAGTAATAATTCTATTAGTACAATATTATTAGATTTTCTTATATTTCTCTTTCTTTCCTTTTTATAATTAGTTTATTTCAATTATTTATTTTCATAAGTAAATCAACTTTTTACTCCTATAATGATAAATGTTTTGTTCTAAATCATTTTTAACTATTTCACTTGTTTAATTATTGCTTATTTATTTCACAAGTACTACAAACACTTGACCAATATCATATGATACGCATGTGTATGTGTGTGTATAGTGTTGTAGCTAGGTGAGACCGCTGTCAGTCGTCACTCATCATGTCTTATATATAGCATATGGTATAAATGTATATGATATATAATTAGTTAAAATTGTTTTATTAGTACCAGTAAAAAAAGAAAGAGGGATATATGTTTTAATTTAGTAAAATTGGAAGTGTCTGTAATTGGTGCAACAAACACAGCTAAAAAAGATCGTGTAATATTCCCTAAAGAGAGGGATGGTAGGGAGAGCTTAGCGTCAGCTGTTTGTATGATATAAATGCGTACGTGTATGAAAAATTAAGTATTTTATCTATATAGTTTTGAATCAGTTGCCTAGTACCTCAACTTTGATAGTTGGGACTTAGTCTTTATAATTTTTATCCTTTAAAAAGACGATGGTCCTTACATGTTAAAATAAAACTATACATAAAGATTTCAGCTAAATTAAAGTTCAAGAATTAATTTTTGATTGAGTCAAAACTATATGACTAGATGAAAGAAATGATTAATTTTCTCATATACTCTCTCTAATTATATTTATTAAGTAAGAGAGAAAATATTTTCTTTTGTTATATTTATAAGTCATATCATTAGAAAAAATGACAAGTAGGGATCCCATAAGAACATTAATAATAATTATAGACCCAAATTATTGAAATTTCAATGACACTGTGGTCCTTACTTGTAATAAATTATCTTTTATTAATTAGTTTGAAATTTACAACAAACTTTTATAAATTCTCAACTAACAATGTAAAGATTTATAAGTATTTTTTTGTTGATTTCCTCAACAATAGCGAAAAATTATAAATGATTGGCTTGTGATTCATAACTAACATTACAAATAATTTCAAGTATATTTAGTATATTTTTAAGCAATTTAGCTATATATTAATAGTGAAAAAGTCACAAGTAATTGGCTTGTAATTTACAACTAACTTTTGTAAATTCTCAATTAACATTACAAATAATTCAAGTCTATTTTCTTAATTTCTCAAGTGGCTTATCTGCATAATGACAAACAAAAATCAAGATTCACAATTAAATTTTATAAACTTCCAACTAACGTTACAAAAATTCCAAGTGTATTTTGTTAATTTTCCCCAATTGACTACTTACATTTTTAATTGCAAGTAAGGACTATAGTTTGTTATTAAAATTTTAATAATTCATTATTTTTGTAATTGTCATTAATATTCTTATGAGATCTGTAATTGTCATTTTCTCAAATTTTTATCATGAATTTCTCCCTTTATCCATCATTAAATATTAGTAAAAAATATATATTATTAAAGTATGTATTTAGAAACAGAGTTTAAAACTTGCTAAATTTTTAGACATAGTTAATAATTTTTAAATTTTTTTTATATTTATAAACATATTGAAAATGGAGTGTGTGTAGATGGAGCATTAATTAGTTGCTTATACCTTGGGATACGGGTAGACTTGGTCAATACTTCAAATTCGAGGTAGTTCTTGTCGTTTATTTACCGTTTCTTCATTTCTTGGTATCTATTTACTTGTCATGAACTCGCACCTCTCATTCATTCAACCTGTTTATCTTCCTTGTCATGACAGTAATAAACCTCTCCTGCATTTACTCACAACTCCCCAAAAAAAAATGTGTACTGTATTAAATGTTCCTTGCAAAACACAAGTTATCCTTCTACATCTTTCCTTTAATTTGGTGATCTGCTTCCCTATAAAAAACCTAATAATGAATCTGACTTCCATATGCGTATGCTCACAACAATGACGATATATGTATAGTGTATTCAGATAAAGATAAAAATAGCAGATAATAAATGTATAGAAGGACTTTAAATTAATGAATCATCACATGATTATTTATTCAGTTTACTTGATGCTTGAGCTAATAACTTTGTATTTAGAGTTACCAACGAAAGCTAGCTATGGCTTTCGTACAGTTATATCAACAAGACATGCATGACAGTTAAATTCAATAATCAAGCAATATAATTACGTTTAATTATATGATGAACCAAAAAGCCTTGATCCTAGTATATAAAAGGAGGTTATAATCACTTAAACAGAGATTTTAGGGTTAGGTCCATGTGAGGAATGCGGAAAATGTTTTTGAGAAAATTGCTCTTAATTGGGCCCGCAATGTTACTTAGTCACATAATCATATTAAAAAAAACATCAAAGTGATGAGAATTAAAGAGAGAAAGGGATTGTTTGATTCATAAAATGAAGAGAGCACATGGGAGAATATACCTATCTTATCTCAAGAGGTTAACAACATGCGTACATATTGAGTAGGAAAATAGATTAAATAGTACAGAAGCACATGACAGATGGATAGAAAAGTAACTCAAAAAGAAATAATACACACCAATTTGAAAACATACATAGCAAGGGCATAGATAACAATATTGACCCCACAAGGACCAACAAGTTTTGAGGATACAGAAGAAAAGGAAGAAATTAAAGAAGAAAGAAAGGGTTGGTGGTCCTCCACAGTGACCTGTGCAGAAGTGTATATATATCCCACACCCACAAACAGGCTGGAGAGAGGGAGAGAGAGAGAGAGAGAGAGAGAGAATGCAAAGTCTGATGGGTCACATGGCCTCTTCAAATAAAGCACACTGACAACACACATGCCCTTGCTTTTTCCCTATTCCACATTCACATGTTCACTGTCCCCCAAGTCCCCCACCCACTTCTTCATCACACTATCATTCTAAACATTCATTGGGATTCAACTCATTCAATGCATATATAATCACTCTATTTCAATTTCATACAGTCTCTTAATTACTCTCTGTCCCTCTCCAGATACATCACAGTAAAATTATTAAACATATGCTATTTCAATTTTTCTTAGTTATACAATGCAAGAAGCTCATATTCTATCAAATCAAGCCAAGATTCTTCACTCTCAAACATAATTCACCACCTAAGCTATATAGAAAAGAAAAACACATCTTTTGCCTAATATATATTTGTTATACACAACAATTACTGAATTATCGAGTACTATAGTTAGCAGACTATATAGTTGCATTTATATATATGTTGAGCTTTTCTGGGTCATCAATCTTCTTGTTTTCTTGAGGATGGTAGTCATCACTGTGGGGAGGTCTCGGTGGTGGTACAGATGGGGCTAGCCGCTGTCAGGAGGGTGCATTGCAAGTGCCTGTGGCAAGTGATGAGGTGGTCGTTCGTGAGCCCGACGGCTTGCATGAACGAATGAACCACAGTCGGACCAACGAACCGGAATCCCCTCCGCACCATGTCTTTACTGATGCTCTCAGATTTTGAGGTCTTCACTGGGATTTTGTGACCAAACTTGTACTGAGTGGAGATAGGTTTATGGTTCACAAACCCCCATATGTATTTGTCCAATGAACCAAACTCCTTGTTAATCTGCAATATAATGGCATCATTTACCCACCAGACCATATACTAATTAAATTGACTCATAAATCAAAATAATTATGTAATACCTATTATCTACTTAGTTTAAATTTGTTGACTTTTTAGAAAATATTTTAATTGCATAGCTTTAAATAAAATTTTCATTTATCCGACAAAACTAATTAAATGGTGTCCGGACTTTATGTAACTTCTATAAATACAATTGATTGATGATGTTGATATAAGAATTTTCAATTTCATATTATTGAAGTAATAGTATAGCACATGTTACAAGCTAATTTTCTTTCAGAAGAAAAGGTATTTATAACTTTTTTTTATCCTTATGTTTACAACTTTAAGATGCATGCAGTTTATTGAGAGAAAATTAGTAAGATGCAACTGGAAATGAGGCATTATTGAAGTGTTGTCATATTTAGAAAGTAAAAAAAATAAAAAGTGTATAATGTAAATATTAAACAATTTATTTTATTTTCATTTATGAGTGTACTGAATATTAAAAAAATATTAAAGAAGTTGTTATTTTTTTATTTTAAAGATAGCTTTCCATGAATATTTCAATGCTTGAGATTAATATTGAATTCAAGAAAATACTGTATACCTCTAAAATTCGGTTAGCATTATCAACAACGCCGCGGACTCTGCTGATATCAATGCCATATTCAGAGCTAATAGACATCATCTGCTTATCACTCAAGTTCGCCACAGTTTCTGCATCAAATTCAGAAAACGCCTTCCTGTGTCCACAAATAACCATCATTAAATATAATATTCTACCTCATTAAATTTCCTTCATATATATATATATATATATATGTTTAATATAGTGATGATGAGCTTAATTCTCAGATGAGAAGAACCAAACCTGAAATCATGGCGTCTCTTTAAGATTGAGGTCCAATCAGATCCAACCTGAGCGCCGCTTAGAACAAGAAGTTCGAACAACATTCTGTATTAACAAAATTGAGGTTATTGTCAAATTAACTTTGTTAACTTTGTCATTTTCTTCGGTCTGCATATGATGTGTGAACTTTTCTGATTTTGTGTGTGTGTGTGTGTGCTTGAGAGAGAGAGAGAGAGAGAGAGAGAGAGAGAGAGATAGGTAGGCTAGCTTTAGCTTACTTGTCATCATGAACTGGAACTCCCCATTCTTCATCATGATAAGCAACGTAAATAGGATCTATTCATCATAACAGAGAATTTCAGGTATCGGTACATTTAAATTTGTGTTCAGGTAAAAATATATATATATATATATATATATGTATCCTTCAATATGAATTACCAGAATTGGCTGTGATGAAGCTGCATCTCTTCTCCTCCTCATTTGAAGAAGAAGAGGGATTATCCGCAACAGAAAGTCGTTCGAAGTTGGCAGACTTGGATCTTCCATAATGAGCAATCCTCATCTTTCTTTGTTGCTGTTGAAGAGCCATCTGTTCCCTCCTGACAGCAGCAATACTTCCAGGAGACTCCGTGATGAGCGACGAACAATAACTCAGCGAAGCCTCCAGAGAACCCTCCTTGAAACTCTTTGACTTCTTCCTCTCCAAACTGGGACGATGATGATGAGAAACACCACTTTTCACGGAGCTTCTTGGAGTCACCACTTTCTCAGAGCTTGAGTTCAAGCTATTATTGCTGTCATTGTTGCCTCTCTTGATAGCAGGAGGCCTCGGAGACTTTAACTTCGGAGAAACCGGAGGTGTTATCAATGAGCTCCTCGTCATCGTCGTCGTCATGGTCTTGCTGCTTACAGAAAGTGACTTTGGTGGCACTCTCTTGATTGAGGCTTTTCTCTCTAGGGTTGGAACTCGGTTGCACGTCGGCTGAAGCACCGGCCGGCCATTGAGTTTGGCCGCCGTGGCGGCCGCTGGTTCTAAGCCTAGGGTGACTTTGTTGGCCTTTGAGGGGCACATTTTTGTGGGGTTATTGTTGGGAATATGACGTGTATATATGTGTAAATGGCCGAAAGATCAGAAGAAGACGATGAAAGTGAGGTTAAGGAAAAATTGCAGAGAAAGAAGAGAGATATGGAAATGGATGAAGGAGGAGGGAAGGGAGGAGAGGGGGGTTATATAAGAAGTGGGGAAGGTGGGACATGTAAATGGGGATCACAGGAACATGGGGAGGTTGAGTTGAGTTCTACAACTTTTTTCCCCATACTTTATTATTATTAGGGGACGAAATTTCTTCTAAATATCTTTCAAAATAAATATAATTTTTAAGATGTAAGAATATCAATAAAGACCCCTTCATTAGACTTATTTAAATTCAAAACTTTTAAATTTATAAAATCTTATTGCAGTTCAGGAATACTGATTTGATATTAATTTTTTTAAAAAAATAATAAAATTGCCTATCATTTAAATTAATATTAAAACTTTCCTACTTCACTTGGTAATATCAAAATTAAGTAGGGCAATTAACAAGTTATCAATTTTTATACTGTATGTTATTCATTTACTTATAAATTATTGTTTATCGTCCTACTTTACTTATTCATTACTAGACTTTCATTTGATTTCATTATAAAAAAATGAACATATGAAGTAGGTAATTAATAATATTTCGTAAGTAAATGAATAAGTGAAATATGACAGTTTTGATATTAATTTAAATGAGAGTCAATTTTTGTCATTTTTTCCAAAAATCTAATATCAAATTAGTGCCCCTGGATAGTAGTAAAATTTTAAAAATTTAAGAGCTTTGAATTTAAATAAGTCTAGTGAAGGAGTCTTTATTTAAATTCTCCCTTTAAAATTCTTTAACAAATTTTAATCTTTCAACAATTTTTTATAACGAGAAATATTTTTTCAATACATTTACAAGTCAAACTTCTACATCTAGTTGCTAAGCCAATATTTAGTAATTAAAATGAGAGAAAATTATAATCAAGTCTCAAATAAAAAAATTAATTATTTTTTCAATATATTTACAAGTCAAACTTCTATATTTACATATTAAATTTTAGTATTTATAAATGAACTGGACTTGTAAGTAATAAGTTTCCTTATCTGAGATTTATATGTAATTATTTCTTAAGAGACATTCATTCTGACTTGCATGTATGCATTTTTTTTCTTAAACACAAGTATCCTTCTATTAAAAATAATTATGTTTGAGTTACAATGAGATATTAAATATATAGATATTTTTACGAAAATATATTTGAAGCTTGATTCATCACATTGTGAGATCAACTTGCATATCATTAATTTTTTTTATATTTGATATATATCTGTTTTGATGGTTTAATTCTGGTAGGATCCGTGATGTGATTTGGCAAAAAGGTGGAAGACTAATAGGAGTTGTAGTCACGAGGCTTGGATTATGAGAGAATCAAGGGAGAAGCTAATATGAAGATTTGTTCGGTGGGATTTTGTGCTCTTACTTTGCCCTTATTCAACCCTTCTTTTGTATAAGATTCGTATCATTCACTTCTAAAACAGATATAGCATGATAAATTATATTTTTACTGCACTTGGTCAGTTATGTTAAATATATCTATCACATGGAATCAACAGATTTGATTTAATGGAAGGGATTAATTTCTCACAACATATCAACCTAATTTCAAATCCTTACTAAAAAAAATGTTCACATTTAACATTCCATTATGCCTGGAACAAAATTACTTATAATAGAAGCTCACATTTCAACAATCATGTGATTTAAGCTCACATTACTTATTTTATTTGAATTTGAATCTCTCAAATAAGGTTTCATTTAATTTCAACTATACCTTTTTTTGAAAATGAAGTTTGGAAGAATATTTAATTTCTTATCAGTCAGTTATATTTTCTTGGGTGTTTTGTAAAATATATCTTTATAATTTATAAGTGAACTTTGAATCTTGAGACCTCGCTTGATTTTATGATGCAAGACGCTCCTGATCTTTCAAGGATTCTTTAGGGTTGAAGTGGTGAAAAAGAAAAGGTCAAAAAAAAAAAACTGCTAGAAAAAGGACCAATCAGGGATTGCTGGTCCATTGACTCTTTTTAGCCCTACGGAATCTCATTCGCAAGAGAGGGAGGGAGGGATCCTTTAATCATGAGAACAAAGTAAGGTTATTTTGATCTCTCTCTTCACTTTTATTTCTTCGGTTTTCATTCATGTCAACTAAATTAGTTAAATCAATAAACTGTTAAACTAGTATTTTAATCAATTTAATAAAATATTTTATTCATAATTGATTTAATCATAATCCAATTATAATTTTAACTATTACCTTTAACTTAAGTGGTGCAATGATCAATTCAATAACTAATATGATTTTCAATACATTGTTCATTATTCTTTCCACCTAGCAATTGATCACTCACATTTGCAAATATATATATATATATATATATATGAATATTATATATGACATATTAAAGGAATTAGCTAACTCCATATGCATGTAAATGGCTTTTTGTGGAAAGTGGTAATATTATACTTTGGTTAAAGGAATAATGAACAGATTTGAAGCTACAAAGTGGTGGATCATTTTCCAAAGGCCTTAATAAAATTATAAAATCTAACTCGATCAATCACTAGCCCAGGCCGAAATAAGTTTTAATACCATGATAATGTCATACGTAGTTAGCTTTGGTTAAAGGAACAACGCACAAAGTGGTGGATTATTTTCTGAGGCTTTCATAAAACCCTGTGTGTGTGTGTGTGTGTGAATATATTCCTTTTGTGCAGCTTTTGGTCTGGTTACGGCCTCATATAGGGCCATAACTATGTGTTCTTCTGTGTGGATTACAGCTCAAAACTCTTCATCATTAACAGCTCCTCAACATCGCTTTTTGTTATCAAATCACGCTTTATTCTATTCCCCAAGGACGGCCAGAAGGAAGACCAAACAAGAATGACCAACAAAAGAAATTAATTAAGTGCATCAAAAAGCATGATTAACCTGTCTGAGTTTTGTAATATACCTATGCTTCAAGTCTGGGTTCTCTGACAATGTTGATCAATTCTCTGGAAAGGAATTGATCCATCTCATGTTTCAGAGATGAACTGTACGTATGAAAAATATATCAACGATTCTTGTACTGTATGGCGTTTTGATGTTAAAGTTGTGTTGCTTTGTTTATTTTAGAGTTGTAAATTAATGTAATCTGACCTTTTCTTTTTTATTTAATTATTTATTTTTTTCATATGGGAATTGAATAGAATCTTTGACTGCATAGGGTTTAGGGCACATCTCAACCATTCCCAAGGTTTAATCATTGTTTGAACAGATTATATCAATTTTTTTAACACAAAACCCAAAATTACTAAAACTTAATTGCATCAGCCAATCAAGAACTTGTTCTATCACTCCAACGTACTTAAACTAACCTAATCTGAAAGTTGCTCCCAAACATAAACAACTCATTAGTTTTCTATGAACAAGTGATGTTTTTTAGCATCGCACGTACGTTCAAAAATATAACATATTTTTAATCAAATTACACTTTTAATAAGTTAATTAATTATCCTTAAACTGATATCATTTTTTGTCATATTTTCATCTTATTTAATGAAGTGTCTCATTTAAATATGAAAAGTTGAGTGGTTTATTTATTAAGAGTATTTTTAAAAAATAATTTATTAATTACATATTGAAAAACTTAAAATATGTTAACATCTAACCTAAAAATGCCTTATATTTTTATCTAATGAAGGAAGTGTATCTTAGACAGGTACTCCCTCCATTATCAAATATATCAAAAATCAGTTAAGTAACACGATCAGATTAAGAATTAAAAAATATTAATAAATATAGTTTGTGTGTAATTATCAAATACTCTCTCCGATCCTATTTATAGGACACTTTTTAAGAGTAATTTTTGGCCTAAAATGTAAGACTGTAATAATTAAACTATGTTTTTTTAATTTTACCCTTTCTTGATGAGTATAAAAGTATTTAATATAGTTATATTATTATTTAAAGTTAAGGATAAAAATAAAAATACATATCATTTTTTTATAATATCATAAAAAATTATAATATCAAGAAAAAAAAATTAAAAGCATAAAAAAGTTAAAAACATCTTATAATAATTAAGAATTGGATGGAGTATGTTATAAATCAGTTAAATATAACACACACAAATTAAGAAATATTAGTAAAAGTAGTTTGTGTGTAAAAAATAATTTCCCTCTTTTACCCTCAATAAAAGGACGTACTCCTGGTGTCTATATAGCCACCATTAATCCATTATGCTTTGTACATGGAAAAATAGAGTCTAAAAACTATTTATGAGGGGAATTAATGAAAAAGATGGCACTAAAATTTTCTTGAAACTCTGTTTCATATATACCTTATATTTAACAACAAATATTCTTCCCAAAGTGTTTCTTATACTTAATATCTTTGAAATTCTACAAGCGATTGTTAGTTCAAAATGTGATTATGTACAAGGAATTGTAGCGTTAGTTGCGGATGATGGTAAAATTGGAAATCAAGAGGCAATTTTTCACGAGATTTAAAAAATAGTTGAATTGAATGAATTGAATTTTCTTAATATGAGCTATGCGCATATTGAAAGTGTCTTACATTTGGACTGAATGAAGTACATAAGAATTAGCCGTACTTGTACTGTCTGTGTGTGTATGCACACGTATATAACAAATCTCAAATCTGTGTAAATTAAAAGACTGACATCATCATGTCCTTTTTATTATTACATGTTTTGGTTTTTTTTAATAATAATAATTTTTAATTTTTAATTAAAATAGTGGTTATTTTTTAAAATCAAGCATAATTTTTATTATATATAACTAAGAAAGGTATCTCTCTTTATAAAATTCCTTGCAGTACTATATTCCCCTTTTTGTTCTGTCATGTATTGGTGAAATATTCCCTTGATTTTCATTTTAAAGATCAAATCTAACCGACTATCACATGATTTTTTCCTTAATCAAATTTAATGATATTGGAGGCGACTACTCAATTTTATTATGATTATATATATATATATATATATATAACTATATGTCTGAATCATATTATTGGATTTGGCCGAAAAAAAAATCAAATTATTCTAGCATTGTCCAATAGAAGA